TATTAGGGGCCAGGGGTGGGTGAGTGAGAGGGATAGTCCTGCCTACAAGTCAAACACAGTAAGAAAATTAACTGACCAAGTTTCATCATCCTAATTTGGTATCTTTTCACAAAATTCTTGTGGGCCCTTCTGGGTATCTGTTACAGAAGCTGGAGATTATAAGAGATCTCCAGTGAGGGACAACCTACTACCATCCAGGCAATGCATTCCCCTTTGGGATAGATATGTGTTAGGAATTATCTTTGTCTCTTTGGTTGAATGAGATATGATGATAATCTGCTTGGCAGGGCCTGAGATGGTATTCCTCTGAATATATTTGGACACAGAGAAGTCATAGGGACAAGAAGCCTAATTCAGCTCAATTCCATTTAACAAACATAGCCAAGTGCTTCAAGATGCTACCCAGCTTTGTTTTCCACTTCTTTGGGAAAATAATGCCGACACATTACATATGTATAGTGCTTTGAGGTCTGCAAATTGCTTTCCTTATGATAATCCTGAAAGTCAGGGAATGCAAATAATATTGTCCCTATTTTGCAGATGAGGAAACAGAGGCTCTGAGAAGTTAAGTGACTTGCTTGTGGTCACACAGTTTGAAAGTAGCTGTGGCAGGATTTGAACTGAAATCTCCCACCTTCAAATCTAGCACTCAGCCTACTAAACCATGTTGTTTTGACTTTTCCCTATCTACTTTACATTTCCTGGCTGATGCTGTGTGTCCCTGTCTCTGGGACAGGGTCTCTGGCTTTTCCAGTCCAGGAGGCCTTTTCCACTTTGTTCCTGGAATAAAGTGATCACCCCTTTTGACCCCCCTCAATCCAGCACAAGACTTTGTTCCCTCTTCTAAGGCAAGGCAAAGCAGCTGCTGGGATCTTTGCTCTCTAGCCATGTATTTGAAATGGAAACTGCTAAAATTCTGTTCCCTTTTGTTCAAACTATTGGATAGAGTTTCATCTGGCCCTGACCTCAACTTACTTTGGGTTTTATGTCCTGGGGGTTGAAGGAGAACTTTCTGTGATTTCATGCGCAGCTGATGCTTTCATGTAGACATGAAAGAAAAAGAAAAGAAAGAAGAAATGAAGAAAAGAAGAGAATTCCTCTCTCATCCTACTAAGATTAGAACCTTGGGAAGAGGGAAAGGGACTACAAGCTGAAAGTCAGGGGGATGGACAGAATGACCTTTGGAGAGCCCTGCTATCTAGGAATCCTGCAGATTGGAGACAGAGAGGAAGAACAACCTGTCTTTAAGTGGAGATTCTCAGGAGGGCCTTTGACTTCCTCAACCAATTCCTCTTCTATCTCCCCATCTCATCTATGAACAGGAGGCAAGACTGCGTGCCATGTCAAATGTCAGACATCAAAGCCCTTCCGAAAATACCATTCTTTGTCGCTGTTTTGTTTTGTTTTTTCCTTGAGTTCCCATTTAGAAGAGTTTCATTTGCTACTGAATCCTATAGTGTCGGCAGGATGGATTATTACTATTATTATTGTTATTATTAATAATATAGCAATATATTGCATAATTGTATAATATATAAATTAATCTATTAATATAAATATATTAATGTGTAATATATTAACATTCATAATCAATATAGCACCTTAAGGTTTGCAAAATGTTTTTTACCATGATCTCATTTGATTCTCCCAACAATCCTGGGAATTAAGTGCTATTATTATCACCATTTTACAAATTAGGAAACAGACTGACAGAGGTTTAGTGACTTGCCCAGGGTCACACAGCTGATAAGTGTTTGAGGTCTTCCTCACTTAAGATTTCATGCTGTATCCATGGGGCCACCCAGCTGTTTCTTTTTATCTGCTTCTCTTTCACTCTATTTTTTGCTTTCCTTTCTTCTCCCCTTCTTCCTCCCAGACTTCCGTGTGTGTGTGTGTGTGTGTGTGTGTGTGTGTGTGTGTGTGTGTGTGTGTGTGTGTGTGTTGAGACACTAAGTCTTTTATATAGTATTCTCTCCCTTGATCTAGGAGTATCTAAAAAGGAACTTCCTTAAGTTTCTAGTGGGAAAGAAAATGGCAGGGGTGAAGAGGAGGCTGGGAAGTAGTTATATTTGTACTTCTCTAGGATAACATAAATTAGATGTGACCTGGGCTCTTATGTATTCTGCTCTGTATCTGGGCATCATGCATTAGGTTTGCTTTGAAATTCTGGACCCTTTGCTCCCGCAAATAAATTTTGTAATTTCGTCTAGCTCTATAAAATGCCTTACCGCCTTAGTTGTTTGATTGGTATACCATTAAATCTGTAAATTAATGTAAGTTGGTGTTGTTAAGGCAGCTAGGTGGCACAATGTATGGAGAGCCAGCCCTGGAGTCAAATCCAACCTCAGACACTTACTAGCTGTGTGACCCTGGGCAAGTCTCTTAACTCTGTCTGCCTTGGTTCCTCATCTCTAAAAATGAGCTGAAGAAGGAAATGACAAACCACTCCAGTATCTTTGCCAAGAAAACCACAAATGGGTCACATAGGGTCGAACATGACTGAACAAGTAGTACCACCATTTTCATTATTTTAGCACAGCCCAAACATGAGCAATGAATATGTCTTATTTTTTGTCAATCTTTATTTCTTTAAGAGGTGTTTAGTAGTTGTAATGTTTTGCTGGATATCTTTATGCATTTTGGATATTTTGCATGGGATTTCCATTTTGATTATTTCCTCCTGGATTTTGTTATTGCCACGATATAGCAACACTGTTGAGTTTTGTGGATTTATTTTGCATCCTGCTATCTTACTAGAGTATTGCCTTAAATAGTTTCTTTGCTGATTCTCTGAGGTTCTCTAAATAAACTATCAGTCATCTCAGACTGCATTTGAAAAAGTCATCCTTTAAAATAGCTATAATTCTTCATCTTGGTTTATTCTATGTATGATCGTCAACCAATAAACATTTATGGAAGATCCATTGTGTTCTAGAATGAACTAAGCTATATTGATAAGGATCAGCATTTAAAAATTTATTTAAAAAACTTTTAAGCTTTCAAAGTATATTATACATATACATGCAAAAATATAATAACATTTTGAAAACTTTAAAGTTTTATAGATATGCCTTATATTTTTATATATATTACATATATATTAAATACATACACATATGTGTGTAATTCTACCCTCACAACAAATCTGTGAAGTAAAATTTGAAAATTGAGGTTTGATTGGCTCAGTGACTTATCCATGGTCACACAGCTAGTTAAATGTTAGAGGCGGGATTCATACTAGAGGTTTAAAAAAATAAAGGCAAAACAAATAGGAGATAGATCCCTGCCTCTGGTTAGCTTACCATGTTTTTAGAGAGACTAAGCCTATACACAGAATTGAATGAAGTTTACTTACAAAACAACCTATCCATTAGTAGCATGTACACTATACAGTCTGAGCCAGAAAATACTGAAAGGACACTAGTGAGAGGATTCCAGGGTTAAACAGGACAGGCTTCCTGGAGAATATGAATTGGTTAAAGTTTTCTCCCCTGTTTCCTAATGGACATTCATCTCCTCTCCTGGCCTTCCTTTCCTAGGAACCACCCCTAAAGGCAGACACCTGGGGCCTGGTCTGGAGGCCATCATCAGTCCGTTGCTTTGTGGGGGGGAGTGGGGGGAGGTAGGGATGGGGTGGAGCAGAGAGCAGGATCTGAGGAATGGGCCTGATGCATGTAGACGCCAGGCCTGCGCAGCTACTCTTGACAAGGGAAATGGGAACCCAGCCTTGGCCAGTTTAGGAATCCCAGCCCTGTGGCTGAATTGCTTAGGGTCATTTAGAAGTAGGGTCCAGGAGTGGCTACAGGAGATTTTAGACAGGACAGCTTGGCCAGGATGGTATCATGTCTTGGGAAGCCCAAGTCTGTAAGCTGGAAGGCCTGGGTACTAGTCCAAGCTTTCTATTTACTCTGTTGTTACCTTGGTCGAGACCCCACCTCTCCCTATCCCCAGGATTGAGTTACCCCGTTTGAACAGTGTAAAACTAAGTGGTCCAGTAGATAGAATACAGGACTTGGAATCTGGAAGGCTTTTTCACACCTGGCCTCAGACACTTTACTATCTGAGTGACCCTGGGCAAGTCACTTAACTGCTTTCTGCCTCAGTTCCTCCTCTGTCAAATAATTGTACTTACCTCCCAGGGTTATTATGAGTAAAATGAGATATTTGTAACACATTTTTGCAAACCTTAAAGCACTATATAAATTCTAGCTATCACCACCACCATCATCATCATTGTGATTATTGCTTAACCATTTGGATAGAGGCTATGTTATCTCATTTGATTCTCTCAACAATGATGTGACTCGGGTGCTATTATTGTCCTCATTTTACAGATAAGGAAATTAAGTGACTTCTCCATCATCAAACAGCTAGTAAATGTTTGAGACAGGAATCAAACTTGTCTTCCTAATGCCAAGCACAGCATGCTAACCCCTGCACCATCCAGCTGCTTCTTTTGTAGAGAAGGAGGATATAATGAGAAATAGAGGTGGACTTTGGGGAAAGAGTAACAGTGGTAAAAAATGCAAGTATTATCCCCAGACTGTTTGCCCTAGAAATAAGGAGAGAGAAGACGAGGGTAAATAAAAGGCTCTTTAGATAATTGAAGGAAGCTAGTTTATCCTGTCCCATGGCCCGCAGTGCCCTTTTGCAGTCACCAAAGAGCTATTTATTCATACAAGCATTTATTAGACTCCTGTTGTTTTCTGGCACTGGGCAAGATGGTGGAAATACAAAGACATCAAAAAGCTTACATTTAACATGTACAGAACTCTACAGTTCTGGTCTCTGGTCTCGTTTCTCCTTCCACCACCATTGCCTTAGTTTCTTCCTGTATGTCCCACACACCCCATCCCCCAGCAGCCTAAGCCCTCTCTTCCCCTCAATCCCACCCAGTCAGAGAAGCCCTAAGGCAGAGTGGCTGTCCCTATTCCTGGTGTGTCTTCTCCCTTCACCTTTGTCTTTCTTCTGTCTTCTTCCCTCCCCTTGTGTCTCCCCAGCATCCTCTTTGCAGACATTGAGGGCTTCACTAGCCTGGCTTCCCAGTGCACGGCGCAGGAGCTGGTCATGACTCTCAATGAGCTGTTTGCCCGTTTCGACAAGCTGGCCGCAGTAAGTCACCCCTCGGATCTTCTCTGGCCTCTCTGAGGTCTGTGTGGAGAGTGTGACCAGTGTGGTCTTCCTCCAACTCTAAAGCCTTCTGGGAACTTTACAGGAGTCCCTGTCACTCAGGACCCCGGAAGTTGTATCCAATAATGGGTCAGGAGACTCCCAGCCATAGAAAGGCTGGTCGGGGAGAATCAGGATGGGAAGTGGGGAGAAAGGACATGTGGGCAAAGCCTCAGGACTATTGAAAAGAGGGGGGAGGTGATGATGCAGGCAGATGCAGACAGATGCTACAGTCACAGACCAGGACAAATTGTTTAAATGCACAGGCAGGCTGAGAGGAGGGAGCTGGAGGAGCTGCAGGTCACAGCAGACTTTCAGCTGCTGCTGTATACTCATAGAGAGTAACCCTATCACAAGATCATAGAACCAGAAAACTGAAGAGCTGCAAGGGTTTTTAGATCTCATTCGGGCTCATTTTACAGACGGGGAAATGCCTACGCATCACACCATCAGTCAACTCTTGATCAGTATAGATATACTGACGGAGGAGGGTGGTGCTGTGGATAACCCCACAAACAAACCCCACAGTCACTTCTATTTATTTGGCTTTGAGTTGACTGATTGATTGATTTAGCAGCAGATTGGCCTCCCTGGTGGTGTTTGGCTCAGGATGATAAAATGAGTCTGCATTTTCAGAGCTCCTACTACAGATAGAAGTATATATGTGTGGTGGTAGTGGTAGTGTGGGGAGTGGGGGGGAGGGATGTGTGAGAGGCCAAGGCAGGGATGATTGCTTAGATAATCCTCAAAAGCATAAGGAAGAATTGAGTTTTAGCCTTAAGGGTGAATCTGGAACCTGTAGGGTAGGAGCACACTCATTAATTAGGCTCCCGGTCACATTAGTGGTTGGTTTGTTTTTCATAAGCTCTCACTAACTTTATAGAAGCCTTTATAGAGGCCTTAAAAATACATTCATATTTTCGTAAATACGTTTAAATCATGGAACCCACCTTCTTCCAAGTATTGAGGAATTTGAAGTTATATTTATAATCAGTCACAGAATTTGACTGTAAATGATGAATGATTACCCTTTACAAAAGAGCCACAAACAGTACCCCATTGAATGAAAATCTTAATTGTTCTTACCTAATGCCCTTTAGATAAAATGTGTACTGGGTGGTGGGAATGTACTTGGCCAGTGTTTCAGGCCCATAGCTCTGTCTCAGCTCATGGGACCCCCTCCCCCTCCGCCTCACCTGATGAGCTGGCTAAGCTGGCTGTGGCTAGGGCCAGATCTGGACTTACTGCCCCTCAAAGGCAAGTTATTCTGGGCATTACATGAATCCATTTGTTTCCTGCTTTTCTGCTTTTCCCATCTCACTGCTGGGTTTAAAAATAAAATAATACATAATTTTCTCCCATAGGAGAATCACTGTTTACGTATTAAAATCTTGGGAGATTGCTATTACTGTGTCTCTGGGCTTCCTGAGGCCCGGGCTGACCACGCTCACTGTTGTGTGGAGATGGGCATGGACATGATTGAGGCCATCTCGTAAGTAGAGTGTTCCTAAGGGCACAGGGGGCAGGGGGAAGAATGAGGTGTGGAGGGAGGAAAGGTATACATAGGAGAGTAAACCAGAAAGGGGCAACCTTACAGGGGTCAGATAGGCACGCTCTTGGGTTTCTCTTCTTGGGATGCTTTTTTCCTGAGATCTGGGCCCTTTCTGCCAAAGTGCGTCTTTTAAGATCAAGAATACCGGAGAAATGAGGGACTCGTTTTTCAATGAAACCTTTGTAGAGGCAGTGAGGAAACCCCATTTAAAGGACAGGCTTAATGCTGAAAAGGGTAATGACCATCTGAAATCCAGGGTTAATCCAAACCTTCATCTGAATCTCTAGATAGGCAGAAGGACAGACATGATAAACTCTGGGATTTCTTTGGGCTTCTTTGGCAGGCTGATGAAACCTGCAGACCCCTTCTTGGAATTATGGTTTTAAATGTATGAAACAAAATACATAAGATTATAAAGGAAACCAGTTACATTGAAATATAGTTATCAAAATGTATTTTTTTTTTAATTCAAGGACCCCAGGTTAAGAATCCCTGATTTAGCCTGAGGAATCCTTGAATTCATAGGGTGATAGATTTAGAGATACTAACAGTCATTTAATACAACCCCTTCATCTTATACATGAGGAAACCAAGGGTCAGAGAGGCTTTGCCCACTGTCACATAGGCAGTGATTAGCAAAGCAAGTTCTTTGACCCCAAATCTAAATCTCATTCCATTGCATCCCAGTGGTATGTAACCCACCCTGGTGATATTGGACCAGGCTAGCAAAGAGAAAAACCAGAGGGATAAGTTTAAGTGTTGGGAATGTAGTCCATTATAGGGGCAAAGGAAGGTGACTAGGATCTGCCTTTGCTTGATCTGCAGAGTGCTATTCCCTATGACAAGAAAATTGATTGGTAATGAGTCTTCCCTGCTGTGTCAGCCTCTCACTGTTGTCCTGGGAGTTGCTAATTTCAGTAGCATACAGTAGCTGTATTGTCCAAGTCAGTGGAGTGTGCTACCCAGAAGGCCCTTTCCAGAGCAGGCTGGATGAGTGCTTGCCCCCTCGTACTGCTTCCCGGCAGCAGGCCCCACTCCTCTCGGGAGGGGATATTTCATCTTCTTTCCCTGGTGGGTCTCCTCCCATCCCCCCAGGCTGGGATAATAGATCATAGTCTTAGAGCTAGAAGAGACCTAGAGATTCTCTCATCTATCTCACCCCAATCTTAAAAATGAGGAAACTGAGGCCTAAAGAATTTAAGTGACTTGATTTTAAAAAGCCATAGCTAAAGTGACAGAGCCAAGTTTCGACTTCAAATCCAGTGGCATTGAGTTGACCTTAGTTCCCTTCCACCCCTTCCAACTACCGTGCTTTGCCAAGGAGTATTTAGAGTATTCCTCCATTATCCAGTTTATTGGGAAGAAGTACAGTGGTCTGGCTAGACCCAAACAACAGATAATCTAGAAGTAATTTCTTATGTTTCCTCCAAGTGCATTGTAGGAATATTTTTTTGGCAGCAGCAAAAATTCCCTTCCAAATGATGCTTGGCTCCAGATTATATTAAAATGAATTTTCATTTCCCAAGTGCACCCTAACCGACCAGTGAAAGACACAAGACAGAGGTATTTGGATTAGAAGGAAAAGATGGGGCTCTAAATCAAAATACTGCTAGGCACATTTGTAGCTGTGGGTTGATGCACTGCACCACCTTGTGGTCATGGGTGGACACTGCAGCTTCTGGCCATCTGAGAAGAAAGCCCTCTCCCAAATCACATAGCAATCCTATTTCCAGGTTGAATAGTCTCAATACTTTTATCTGGATAAAACCAGGAGGAGTGACTCTTTGATCTCTGTTTTTATGACCCTCCTCCATCATTACACCTGTTTTTCCTCTTTATCCTCAGTTCTCATCCCTTTGCCTTCTTCTCTCCTCCAAAGACTCAGTTCTTGACCCTCCTGACTAGAGCTTGAAATATTAGAGCTTGCCTTAAAAATCACCTGGGCCAACCCGCCTAGTTTTTGTAGATAAGGAAACTGAGCTTCACAGGAGTGAAAACTGACTTGGCTAAGGTCAAAGCTAGCAGTAAGTGGAGAACTGGCCCCTAAAGTCAGATCTCCTCCCATCCGCTATTCTTTCCATGACGACACATTCTTCCTTTCCCATGCTCCTTCTCCAGGTTGGTCCGAGAGGTGACCGGGGTGAATGTGAACATGCGTGTGGGGATTCACAGTGGTCGAGTACACTGTGGAGTGCTTGGACTGAGGAAGTGGCAATTTGATGTCTGGTCCAACGATGTGACATTAGCCAACCACATGGAAGCAGGAGGCAAAGCTGGGTGAGTGACCTGACCTAGGCCATTGGTGTTTGAGCTCACCAGGCAGCACCAGAGCTAGGCCTCAAAGTTCCTTGAGACTGGCCCTGCCAAGTCACTTTCCCTTGGAATCAGAGGTTGGGGTAGGGATGGGTGAGAAGAGGGAGCTGCTAATTCTGGGGGCTGTCAAGAATATTCAGGAGATTTATTCATTCATTCAATCAATCAGAAAGTATTTTTTTTTAAACTAACTACACCGTGTACATCTCCATGATAGCAGGCACTCATTGAGTACTAAGTTGTATGGCATCTACTCCCAGCCCTCAAGGAGCATGGAGTCTAGTGGGGCAGGAGTAGGAGCAGGGGTGTGCTGGTAAACAATCAGCAATCTTTTTATGATTTACCAATCTTTTATGATTAATCTGCATTATTAACATTTTCTCCATCACATTCTCAAGTGTAGGCAATCAACAAAACAACAAATCAGACCCTGATTTGTAGCATTTGATGATTTCTGAGCTTTTATAAAAAGTCAACCATAGTAGAAGGCAGAACATGATGAATGTATAAGCTAAAGGAATAGAGAAGCAAATCATTTCCAACTGGCACCTTGGAGGAGGTGGCATTTGAACTACACATTGAAGAATAGGGTTTTGACAGGTACACCTACTTCTTAAGGCAAGGACCATTTAATAGTCAATAAATATTTATTAAGCACCTACTATCTACCATGTGCCAGATAGTCTGCTAAGCACTAGAGACACAAAGAAGAAAAAGAAAGGAATTCCCTGCCCTCAAGGAGCTTACAATCTAATGGAGAAAGACAAGACAGAAAAAGGTAGCTGGAAAGGTGGTGAGGAGAGGGCTTTGTCTTTCACACTGGGCTTTTCTCTCTTAAAAGTCTAGCACAATCAGTACCCAACACAAGAGTTCTGTAGAGTTGAACTGAATCGACTTCCTGGCAGAGAGAATGGCCCAAGCAAAGCTGAAAGTTCAGGAAATAGTCAATGCAGATTGGCTGGTGCACGAGGTTCCTGTAGGGGAGTAATGGGAGATAAGACTGGAAAGGTCAGCTGGGACCACATTGTAGAGTTTAAATGCCAGGCTAAAGAGGCTAGACTCATCCTCTTAACCAGTACTTCCCAAGCTTTTCACACTTTATAACGTCAGAAAATTTCTCAGATCCCCATGCTACTGCTAGTATCTGTTGATGGAGAAACTATGCAGTGCCAGAAATTACTGTGAATTCAGCAGTGTTTTTGTAGCTTATTTGAAAATAGGAATACATATAGGTGCAATATTTATGATTTATTCAGTCTATAAAAGGACCACTTGCAATAACTCCAGGGTCCCCTAGGAGGTTCATAATTCAACAGATTTGGAACCACTGCTCTGAGCAATGGGGCTCTAGAGAAGGGGAGTGACCTGATCAGAGGTGGTGCTTGGGAAAGATGAATCTGCTGGGAATTCACAGGACACATTCCAGGGCTGGGTGAACCTGGAAGCAGAGTTAGGAAGCTGGTATAGTAATCTAGTTGTGGGGTGGAATGAACAATACTGAGTTAGCAGGGAAGAGAAAGGATGAATGGTTGGGTTGACAGGTTAATAAGTTGAAATTAGGATTGAAGTTGAAGTTATCATTTCGCTTCAAGTTTAGGGGGTTTTGGTCACACTTAAGGTTGTGGAAGGGAAAATGGTTTAAGACTGGTGTTGATTCCAAATCTCACATCAGGCTCTGTCTTGCTGTGACCTCATTCTCTTCCCCAATTGTATCTCTTGAACTATAGGCGCATCCATATCACCAAGGCCACACTGAACTATCTCAATGGTGATTATGAGGTAGAGCCTGGCTGCGGGGGTGAACGCAATGCCTACCTCAAGGAGCACAGTATAGAAACCTTTCTTATCCTGCGCTGCAGCCAGAAGAGGGTGAGTCGGGGGAAAAGGAGGTGAGAGAAGCATAGAGGGTGTCCACTCCTCGAGAGTGGAGGGGACAACCTGATACCCTCAAACCAGAGCTGAAACTAACAATGTTGCTGCCCAGGGCAAGCTTCACAAACCTATCTAGGGTAAGAAATTTGCCTTCTAATGAATTCTTTAAGTTAAATTTAGTTAAGAGGGCCAGGGAAAGAGACAGCAGAACACCACCCTGTGGTGGGTAGAAACAGACCCCAGAATACTTCCAGGCTGCTGCTGAGGAGCCCAGTGCAGAGGAGAAAGAAGAGTGGGAGTGAGGTGGGCCATGGGGTTGTTCTCTTGGAGGTGAACATAGGGTGAGGTCCAGTAGCTTCCAACTTTAGCTAACTATCTTTGGTGACTAGGTGTTAATCTGTGCTGCCAAAGGATAGCTAAGTGCTGTCAAGACTTTCCAAATTGCAGTGCCCTGGGAGAAAGCCCAGGCCATCCCACCCTAGTTCCGGTTCTCCGGCAGGATCCTCTTCATGGACCCTCTGCCTCTTCTTCCTCCTGTTTCCTTTGTAAAAGGACATGGAAAACTCAGAAAAACACAGTGCCCCCCCATAGCTTGCAGTTGAAGACAGTGCAATGAAGGGCAATTTAAATGGTCATGGCGGGGGCGGGGGGGGGAGTCTCTAATGGGATGACTGCCCCAAACCATCAGAAATCTTCAGTTTGGAAAGACGAGCTCTAAAGGCTTTGGAATAGGGGAACACAGACTTATTCACTGGATCCCAGTATGTTAGAACAAAGGGGCAACCCACTGAAGCATCTGGGATAGAGAGCTAGACCTAGAGTCAGAAAGACCTGAGTGTGAAACCTGCTTCATTCACTTACAAGCTGTGTGACCCTGGGCAAGCCACTTAATCTTGTTTGTCTCAGTTTCTTCATCTGTCAAATGAGCTAGAGAAGAAAATGACAAACTACTCCAGTATCTTTGCCAAGAAAACCACAAATAGGGTCAAGAAGAGTTGGACACAACTAAAAAACAACTGAACAACAAATATATTGTGCGTATGTATCTATGCAGTACATACATAGCATGTGTATATATGTATGAATGAAGTGCTTTACAAAGTTTAACTGCTATATAGATATTCGATATAATCATTATTGTTATCAGTGTTGTTGCAGCTTAAAATAGGTAAACTGAGGACAAATAAAAGGAAGTATTATTTGACACAGTAGGTAAAAACTGCAAAGAAATTATTACCCTAATATGGTTCTGGGGTATTTCCGGCCCCAGGTTGAATCAGACCCCCTGTTTGATTTTGTTAGGTTCATGAAGCAAGTAGCAGAAAGTAACATTTCCACTTGTGCCAATAATTGGGGAAAGCACAATGAGACTATTAAAAAAAAAAGTCATTGGTGGTTATACCCTAAAGGCCAGAAGGCGGGAAATATTCCATGAAAGCCCATGTTATATATGTCTACTGTGACTCTCTCACTCATGGAATCCACCTCTGTCCCTGAGTGTGGGCCTCTGACTCAGGATCTCTATGTCTATGCCTCTGCCTCTGCATCTTTTCTTTGAGGGGTTCTTGGGCTTTTATCTACCTTTTATCTATCTTTATTTAATAGCTTTCCATATCTTATTCTTAATCTGAAAATCAACGGGCATTCTCTCTGTCTCTTCTCTCTTCCTCTCTCCTCATCTTTCCTCTTTCTCCTCTCCTCTTTTCTTCCCCTCGGAAACTTTCTGACTAGAAGACTAAGATGCTGATTAAGCAGCAAACACATTTGGATGCTTGATCTGTAAAAGTGGATTATCTAACCCATCCATCATTTTATGCATCTGTAATTTTTCACATGTTTGTCACCAGAAATTTCTCTTAAGTCCTGAAAGTTCTAAGGACCCTTCCATTCTTGCAAATGCTTTTGTCCACGTTTCCATATCCCTCATATCTTCATCATCAAAATCATCTCCAGCCTTAAATTCTAAATCTTAATGCCCCTAAAAGAGCATTTCCATATATATAGCAGAGCAGAAAAAGAAGATTCTCTATCAGAACTGGAAGTCTTCATTTTATGCTTCTTTTTTTTTTCAAGTATATGATAAAGTCTACATGTTCGTTTCAGAATTGTATTCCTTTTCTGTGTTTCCTTCTGGACTTCCTTCTTTTTCTTTCCCATAGTTAAAAAAAGTTACAGTGACCCTTTTTTGGGGGGCACCATTATTGCTAACCTCCCTTCCCCAACTCTCTCCTTTTAAAAAGAGAGAAAGAAAAGCAAAATCCTTGCAACAATTAATGTAGTCAAGCATAACGGAAATATCCACTAGGCTTGTCCAAAAATGTATGTCTCTGCCCCTTATGGCCCTCACCTCTCCATCAGGAGCGGGCTAATGTGCTTTTATCCCAGGTCTTCTAGAGACGTGATTGGACATTGATTTGATCAGAGTTCTTAAGCCCCCCTCACCTTCCTCCAACGTCATTGCCCTCTCTACTACATCAATGCTGTCTTCATAAGACGGCCCTTCCTATTCTCAGCCCAAGACATTTAAATTGGGACTTCATATACCATTTCTCCTTTCCTTTTCTACCTGCTCTTCACTGGGACAGTTCCAGACTTAGGCCTAATACATTCTAGAAGCTTGGATAAATACATGTCTCTAGCACCTGAGATTGCCGTAAATGGCATCAGAAGTGAAGCCCAGTTCTCCAGGCATCCATTCTTCTCGTGGCCCTCCTTGGGGTAAGATACAGTTGGTAGAGCAGACAAGGCTTATCTTCTAGAGACCAGGATATGGATTGGACAGTTTGCTCACAGGCTCAGGTCCCTTTGGTTTCTTTTCCCTTGATTAAGTGACTTGCCCAGAGTCACACACCTAGGAAGTACCTGATGTTGGATTTGAACTTGGGTTATCCTAACTTCAGGCCCAGCGCTCTAACCACTGAGCTACCTAACTGCCTTGTATGTGTTGGGGGTGGGGGGAGGTGGGGGAATATTGGGACAGGAGCATAGGGACAAGACTACCAAGGAAGAATCATAGACTACTGGCAGTGGAGATAGAGACCTGGGTTCAAATCCAGCCTCTGATACTTCATGCCTATGTGACCTTAGAGAAGTCACTAACCTCCCTAGACCTGTTTCCTCATATATAAAACGAGTGGACTGAATTAGCTAGCCTCCGAGATCCCTTCCAACTTTAGTCTATGAACCTATAAGGTTTAAAGCTACTTAAGTCATACAGACACCCCCCCAAAAAATGTCCTTTTTGAAAAAAAAATGATCCTTAGAGGTGTTTCAAGGACAGCTTGGGGGGAAGGGAGAAATCCTAGCCATCCTGCTCCTTCTCTTCCTAACAGCAGACCGGCTCTTAAAGCCATTTTCACTGTGACCCAACCAAGCCAGATGGAATGTGTAATTTGGAAGTCCGGTGATTAAGGCCGCTGGACTGGGGAGTGGGAAGGGGGAGAAGGTTCCCAGAAGGCAGAGAAACATTTAGAATGTCACTGGACCATTGGGACCTTTGGATGGGGAGGGGAAGAAAGACAGCAATTGCATTACTCATTCTTTCCAACCCCGAGACATAAAACTTAGAGCCCGAAGGGACTTTAGGCATCCTCTAATCCAGAGGCTCTGAAACTTTTTGGGGTCTTGGACCCTTTTGTCTGGCTAGTGAAGCCTGTGGTCCCCTTCTCAGAAAATTGTTTTCAAAAGTACAAAATAAATACATAGTTTTTACAAAGGAAGCCAATAATAGTGAAATACAACTCTCAAAGTATTTTTAAATAAAAGTTCAAAGACCTCGATCCAACCCTGTTGTCACACAGAGGAGGAGGATGCTTGCTCATGGTCTCACGTGGAGTGAGTAGGAGAGTGGTACTTGGCTTCCGGGGGCTCTGGCTCCACATCCAGACGGGCTCCTTCAACGTATTTCCTGTTGCCTCTCTTTTGCATACCCTTGGGGCTGAGGATACTGAGTCTGGAGAAAGAGAGAAAAGGAGGAGGAGTTGTGTGAGGAAGAGATAGAGCAGTGAGAGAACAAATTCCCCCCCCCATGCGCACATTTGGAAAAGCTCTCAGCGTGATGGGGGAGGCTTGATTCCAGTCCCCAGCTATATACCTTTAGGGCTAGACAGGACCTGAGAAACCATTGACTCCGAGCCCTTCATCATATGGATGAAGAGACTGAGGCCCAGAGAGGTTGAGAGACTTGCCTAAGGTCACATAGATAGTCTGTGGCAAAGCTAGAATTTGAACCCAGGTCCCCAACTCCAAACTCAGTGTTGTTGTTTTGTTGTTCAGTTGTTCACGATTCTTTGCGGCCCTGTCTGGGATTTTCTCGGCAATGATACTGGAATCGTCATTTCCTTCTCCAGCTCATTTTACAGATGAGGAAACTGAGGCAAACAGAGTTAAGTGACTTGCCCAGGGTCACACAGCTAGTAAATGTCTGAGGCCACATTTGAACTCAAGTCCTCCTGACTTCAGGACAGGCACTCAATTCACTTCATCTCCCAGCTTTTCTCTTCATCATGCTATCTCAAGCTATAAGGGCTATCACTTTTACCCAAAAGAATATACCCCTTTCCCACCTGTCTTTTGGATTCTACACATTATGATGTGGGTTACAGTGAGGAATGCACATACATATTCCCTGCCCTTTAGGTGATGGCAATTCTGATGCACTTCTAGCCACAAATGTATAGGATAGATGGCTATGAGGACCACTGTGCAGAAAATTAGACAAGTTTAATGAAATAAAATAAGCCAAAGGATCAGGGGAGGGAGTGGGAGTACCTACATAGGCAGGATGAATCAGGCTTTGGAGAAGGGGTCTCATCTTCTTCTAGGGGTCAGAGACCATGAGTTGATGAAGGGAGTGGTTACCTGTGTAAACCAGGTACCTTCCATTCTCAAACTGATTCTAACTGTGCTTTTTCTCCAGAAAGAAGAGAAGGCCATGATTGCCAAAATGAATCGCCAGCGAACCAATTCCATTGGACACAATCCCCCGCCCTGGGGCGCCGAGCGGCCCTTCTACAACCACCTGGGGTCCCACCAGGTCTCAAAGGAGATGAAGAGGATGGTTAGTTACCAATGAGATGGCCGTGGAAATTGGGAGGGGGGGTGGAGAAGTAGGAGGTGGAGGATAAAAGGAGAAAGGCACAGCATCCTTCCTCAGAGATAGCATAACAACAGTAATCCATTGCATTTATAAAATGCTTTCAGTTTTTCAGAGTGTTCTCATGTGTTACCTTATTTTATCCCAAAATCTACCTATATAAATTGAGAGCTGGGATTTTTTCTTCTGGCTTTATAAGACAGTTGGGAAAAAGGAAGGGAATAAACATGTACTGAGTGCCTACTATGTGCCAGGCCCTGTGCTAAATGCTTTACAAATATTAACCCATCTGATCTTCACAACAGCCCTGAGACGTAGGTGCTACTATTAACCCCATTTTACAGTTAAGGCAGCACAATGCTCTGCACAGAGTAGGGGGCACTGTTCAGTCATTTTTCAGTCTTGTTGGATTCTTTGTGACCCCATTTGGGGTTTTCCTTGGTAAAGATACTAGAGTGGTTTGCCATTTCCTTCTCCATCTCATTCTATAGATGAGGAAACTGAGGCAAACAGGGTTAAGTGACTTGCGCAGGGTCATACAGCTAGGACGTGTCTGAAGTCAGATTTGAATTCATATCTTCCTGACTCCAAGCGCAATGCTTCACCTCTGCTCTAGCCATTGCACCACCAACTTACAGAGAAGAAACAGAGCCCCAGAGAGAGACAACTACTAGGTCATCTAGCCTAGGGTGGAGCCAAGCCCAGTACCGACTTCTGATTGCAGACTGAGGGCTATTGCCATTGAGTCACATGGCTTCATCCCAATACTGAACTGTCCTTTCTCCCTTGGCAGAGCTCACCCTGCCAGGCTTAGACTGGGATCTGGGACGTGCCAAAGCCTCCAGCTGTTTGGCATTTGGTGAGGCCTTTCTCCTCCAGTCTGGTGGGGAGAAACGTGCCAGGTGTTGCCTGTGTCTGCTGCATTTCCCAGGCAACTGAAATTTCTCCCGAGCACCACGACTGCCTGGAAACCATCATTGTGATGCTCCCCAATGCTTTCTATGCTTTGGAAAGTCCCTGATCAGCTGGAGCTCTCCCTCAGTGGGGAAGGGGGAAGGGAGGCCTGAAAAAAGCAGAAGCCAAAGGGGATTTATTTACTGGGTTCTGAAACCTGTTAGGGGCTGGAGGAATCACTATACATCACACACCAGGGGCTCATCCATTCAAAGGGGCAAGATGAAATGGATGTGCCTTGATTCCTGTGGTGACGACTGGAGGAGAAAGGAGAAAGAAAAGAAAGGGATGGTAATAAAAGTAGAAGGGCGGTGGGATATGGAGGAAGATGAATTATAATGAGATTTTTTTTTCTTTAAGAAAGCTTAGTTTTTCAGATTCATTTACTCTGTTCAGGGGGATAATCAAGGCTTCTCTCAGTGAAGGCCCCACTCACCCTAAGAACAAGTGAGCAAGGAAGGTATGAGAGTGAAGGGTTGTCCTGCCTTTATGTTTCTGCAGGCCCAGTGTTGAGGAATTGGGTGGGAGATGGGCCCGGGTATGCAGGAAGAGCTAATTTAGAGTCAGATGACGCTGAGTCGGTTTAAACTGCAACAGGAGAGATTAAAACTAGATAGAGAGAGGGACAGGAGAGCTCAGTGCCTGAGAAGACAACTAGAGTGGTTGGTTGAATCCCAAAATCTTGAAAATTTGTTGATATGGACAGTGGAGCCTGGAATCTAAAGGGCTGATCCAAAGACTCTCCAATGGATGTGTTGGTTATGACGCCTAAAGCCCCTAGCTCCAGTTACCTAACAGACCCATCTCCAAGCGTCATATCCCCTTCTACCCCCTCATTCTTCTCTCTCTTTGAGAGACTAACTTCTTTAATAATTTGAATAACAAAAATCTTAATTTGTAGGAAAATATGACTTTTAAAAATTGATGCCTTTTTTTTTTAACATAACAGTCATTTCCTCATATGCTAACTCCCCTACATCCCCAGCTCCCAGGTGTGCTTGTGTGAGCATGTGTATATAACACACATATATACATACACACATATGCAATACACGCATGCATATACAAGTATACAATACATACAGCACACATGTGCATATATGCATGCACACATATACATACATAATACACACACCACACACATGCACACAAAACAGGACACATGCAATACACACATATCTACAATATGCACATATACATACATGCATATACACAGACACACATATATGCATGTGCATGCACAGACACAAAGCATACGTGCACACACATGCACATACATATATATGCACATAAACATATGCACACACATATGTAGTACACAGTGCCCTCATGCACACATACACAAGCACATACATGCAGTACACAGTACATACACATGTATGCAATACACATAGGCACAATGTACCCACGTACACATATACATGTATACACACACACACACACATACTCTAAAACCTCCCCTGAAACCAAGGAAAACAGCAAGAACTTTGTTCTATGGTATCATCTCCCCCCTCTCGACAGAAGGAAGATGTGCAAAACAACTTTCAAAAATGCAGAATTCCCTGCTCTTCGCTGCTCCCTATTCCCTTTCCTTTGCTTTTCTTCCCTTTGCCCTGATTTTCTTTTCCTTTTTACTCCCTCTTTGAATAGTTTGAGTCTCTCTCCTCCTCTAATTCTTTCATGCCATTTCTCCCCGTCCTTTATCTCTACCCTGTTTTCCCCTCCTCCCCCCATCTTCTCTCTCCCATTTACCTCTGCCCTTCCCTGCTTTTTCTGTTCCTTTTCTTCCCACTATCCCTTCTCTTCTACATCCTCCCTCCCCCATTTTCTGCTGACCTTGTCTCTTCCCTGCTCTCTCTCTCTCTCTTTCTTCTTTGATTCTTCTACACCCAGCCCCCTCTCACTCTTGGGTTCCCCCTCGCACCTCCACTGCCACCATCCTTTCCTAACACGTTCCTAGGCAGCAGATGTGACAGCTCTATGATGCTGCCATTCTGTTGGCATGGGGCTGGGCTTAACTCATCCGCCTCTTGGCATTGGCTCTCTGGAGAGCCTAATTGGACCACTGTGTAATTAGAATGAGGATTTTCCATAAACTGCTTTTGGCTCTAGTGAGAAGCCTTTGGTGAAGTGGGGCCTAAGGCCCACTTCTGGGTTGAGCATGCTAAGTATGGGTGATGAGGGTTTGTTGTGTTCCCTTTGGGAGAAACTCTGTGAAAGGTGGGGAGATTAAGCTGAAATAAAATCCTAAAATTACCCAGAATCTGGGAGCAGCTAAGTGGTGCAGTGGATAGAACACCAACCTTAGAGTCAGGAGGACCTAAGTTCAAATTTGGCCTCAGACACTTACTAGCTGTGTGACCCTGAGCAAGTCACTTAACCCCAATTGCCTCCAAAAAAAAAAGTTACCCAGGATCTGATGCTCCTGGTCTGTCAAAGGTAAGAGGACTGGTGATCAGTGCAAGGGACATGAGAACCCCTGCCCTTTCTCTGTCTAAGAGTGAAGCTTCTTAGAGCTTCTATCACAGAGGTTCCCATGAGCACCTTGAAAAGAGCCCTTCTTATGGGCAGTGGAGGAGGGAAGGTGACTTTTATTTTTGCACTTTTAATGAGGAGGTCATTATTGCAGGATTCCTAACTGAGTCGTGTGGAAGAAAACAGGATCTGCAGCCTGTAACCTCAGGGATCTCCTCATCTGATAGGAGACAAAGGGGAGGATACTTCAGGCTGGAGGAAAGTCCTGAGGTGAAGAAAGGCTTAGAGGTGAAAAAAAGTAGAGGTCATATAGGACTGAGCATGGAGTAGTTAGACAGATTTATGGAGATGAGACAAGCTGTGTATTTATGGGGCCGGTGGGAAAATGGGGGGCAGGAATAGGGGGAAGGGCTGGGAGAGAGGGATCTTAACACCCACATTTGAGAGCTTGGATTTGAAGTGAATTCTGTAGTTTACTCATCTATCTCTATGCAGGACTATGCCTAAATTAGTCTAGTCTAGGAAAAACCTATCTTCTTTAAAAACATTTCAAGAATGTTCACTACCTTTCATAGTCAGCACCTACCACCTCCATGAATTGCATAACTATAGACTCAAAGTTAGGAAGCTTGGGTCCTAGGATAAGCTCTGTCACCAACTAGTGGTGAAGCAAGTTCGATAGAGCAGAAAGAGTGTGGGACTAGAAGCGTAAAGACTTCAGTTCGAATCCAGGCTCTTCTGACTATTATCCTTAGGCAAGTCATTTAAACAGTCTGTGCCTCAGTTTCCTCATCTGTAAAATGGGGGAGGGGGCAGAATAGAGAGCCTCTAAAGCCCTTTCTGGGCAGCTAAATGGCTCAGTGGATAGAGCACTGGGCCTGAAGTCAGAAAGATCTAAGTTCAAAGCCAGCCTCAGACACTTACTAGCTATGTGACCCTGGGCAAGTCATTTAACCCTTTTTACCTCAGTTTCCTCATCTCTAAAATGAGCTGGAGAAGGAAATGGCAAACCACTCCAGCATCTTTGCCAAGAAAACCCCAAAAGGATTCATGAAGAGTCAGATATAACTGAAAAATGAGTAAATAACAACAGTAATACATCTCTTTCCAACCATATAGGCAACCTATGATAATGCCTCTGGTCCTCAGTTTACCCCATCTGCAGAATGAAGGGGTTAGACCATATGATCTTTAGAGTCCTTTCCAACTCAGTCTGTGACAGAGTTGCATGGAAACAAACTTAAATTCTTCTGGCTGGGACTGCAGACAACTTCTTTGGTAGAGATGATGTCATACAGCTGGTCTTCAGCTGCTGTAGTGAACTTTCAAAAAAAAAATATTAAGTTTTCTAAGCAACCCAGGTCTCCTAATCATTATTCAGACTTGAACTTTTCATCGAGCAGCCTCCATTTCCTCAGGCTTCTCTCCTGCCTTCTGGATCTCTCCTCCTCTTTCCTAATGCCTCCAGAATGGAGCCATCACATTTTGGCTCAGCCTCTTTTCCTACCAGCCAAGTGATTTGATCCAGATCTTATGAACTGAGGGCAAGTTGGGAAATTAGTAAGGACAAGTCATACTGAGAGAGACAGAGGGACAGAGGGACAGAGGGACAGAAGGACAGACAGAGTCAGATTCTGGCCATTTGTAAAATCTTTAATAAGTATGTTCATTATGAGATTGTAGGGATTCGAGCTAGGCAGGACTCTAGAAATCATTTAGTCCAATCCTTTCCAGAACTGAGAAGAGTCCAGAGAAGTTTAAGGATTTGTTCAAAGTCATAGAGGTAATGAGAAGCAGAGCCAGGTCCTCCTCACTCCAGATTTAACAATCTTTCCAGAACATCATTCCATTCAGTCTCATTGTTTCATAAGCACTCACTCCCAATTTTCTGGGAGGGCAACTCCTCGTTGATAATTCCAGAAAGTTGCTGCAAGTAGCTAGGGTTACAGTAAAAAGTCCTAAGTCCCTAAAGGGTCTCAAGAAAGTTTCCTTTCACACATCTTCACCAGTGAAAGAAAATTAGGATTTGAGTGTCCATCTAGGGAAATAGGAGGTGGGCTTCTGAGCAGCAGGAGCTAGGGAACTGAAGTGCCTAGAAATTAAAATCTGTTCAGTAAGAGGATAGTGTTCTGGGGAATGTGGGTAGACACAGAGCAGCTCTTCTTGCCAAACAAAGGTAGTTACATAGAATCACATAGTTACACAGGCACAGAATGTAGCGATACATGATATGTCAATAGGGAACATTACTTTGATTCTCCTCTTCCCTCCTCCCCTGACAGCAGCTACACCAATTCTTTTCCAGTCTCCTCCTTTCCCTACTACTTCTCATTCTCCTTTCTCCTCTTCTTTCTCCTCATTTTCCTTCTCCTCTTTTTCTCTTTTTTCATTTTCCTTCTTTCTTTCTTCTTCAAAATGTATCTTTTTTTTTTGAGGCAGTTGGGGTAAGTGACTTGCCCATGGTCACATGGCTTAGTAAGTATCTGAAGACAAATTTGAACTCAGGTCCTCCTGATTCCAGGGTGCTGCTCTATCCACTGCACCACCTAGCTGCCTCCTATACCATTGATTTTTTAAAAATTTTCATTGATGATTTTTATTTCAAAATTACAGTTATCTCCTGTCTACATCTTTGCTGTGCCCCTTTATGAGTTGTTAATGAATCTTCTAGAAAGAAAAGTAGGCCAGAAGACTGGTGCCCATGACCATCACAGTACCTTTGTTGCTTAGTTTTGTTTGTTCTTACACTTCTGTCTTTCTCTTTTTTTAGGGTTTTGAAGACCCCAAGGACAAGTGAGTAATAGGACTCTGCCTCTCTTCTCCTAATTTCAGGAGCATTTCTAGGCTGTCCCCATGACTGTTCTCCCACTGCCAAAATTCCACAAGGAAAGACTCTTCATACCTACACCCTCGCCCTGCCTTCTCTTATCTCAGATGAGCCTTAAGGGATCTTAGGTACAGTGTCAGGAAAAGCACAGATCTTAGCACACTGGCGCATACCTCTTAGAACTAGCCAAATGCATCTCTTACTTAACATACAGGATGCTAAGCCACTCAGCAGGAGATCTGAGGGCCCAGGCAACTGCTATGTGCCTATTCCTCTCCCTTCTCCCACAAAACATTTGGCCTCAAGACTCCTAAACATATATGTCCCTTTGCCCCTCAAGGGAGGTTCAAATTCCTCCCTCTTTAGACTTTAGTGACGATTTGAAATTCTGTTCAAGGGCAGAGGGAGGAGTGGGCCCTTCTAGGGAGGTCAGTGTTTTGAATGCGTACACCAGCAATGCTGGATTCTGTTTCAAATTTCAATCCTAAGTCATATCCTTGCTTACACATGGTCTTCTGGCTGAGTGGGAAGTAACAAGCCTAGAAGTAACAGCATAGTGGCAGACAGCTGGGAGGAGAGAAGTAGCCTAGATTATATCCCCAAGGAAGAAAAAGCGACTTCCTATCATCCAGTATCCACTCAGCTCACAAGAAGGGATAAGTACAATTCTTTCACAGTGATCCTAGCTCATTTGGGTTATGGACTCCTTCTCTGAATAGCGTTTTTAAATGCATAAAATAAAATATACAGGATTATGAAGGAAATCAATTATTGAAATTCCATTATCAAAATGTTTTTTAAAACAAATTCATGAAAAAAAACAGATTCATGGACCTCACATTAAAAACCTCTGTTCTAGTCATGCCTTTGACATTTCTATTAATACCGTGTTAAGTTCTGCCCTTTAATATATTTAGCCAATTAACATCTCCCTGGTTTTTAGTTAAGAATTCACAAAGAGGTGTTTTCTTTCCCAACAGATGATCACTAAGACCTCTCTAGCTCAAATTCTGTGCCTTATGACTCATATATCCCCTCGAAATTAGTGCCTGTCCTAGAATTACTATTGATGATGTTAGATATGTTAGCAATAGCTTCAGATACTATGGCTTTGGATAACTGCCCACTGGGTTGATGCTGTTTCCTTTTTTTTTTTTTTGGTTGAGGAATCCATCTCCCTTATAGTCCTGTGGGTATTTAATTCAACCTGAAAGACATTTATTCAGCACTTAAAGTCCCACTCTGGTGCTTTATTGAGGCCTGAAAGTGACCCTGAGTTCAACCAGCAGAGCACAAGCCCTGGCAGGTTCTACCAACCTGGAAAGCCTTTGAGCATAGGCCGTGATGGACTGCAGATCTTTTGTCAAGGGCTAGCTGAAGCACAGAGACTCTCATCATCGCCTTAGCTGCAGGGCTATGTGTATTTCAGCGAGAGTGGACATAGTACATGGGAACATAGATTTAGACATGGGAGGGCCCTTAGAGGCCATCCAGTCCAGCTCTCTCATCTTATAGATGAGTAAATAGAGACACAGACAGAGGCTGGGTGGTTTGCCCCAAGCCACACAGCTACTAAGTATCTAAGGCAGACGCTTTGAGCCCAGGTCTTTCTGACTCCAAGTACAATGTTCTACGCATGATGCCAGTCTGGAATGTTGATACAGAGCAGTTGTGATCTGTGTCAATAGAGGGAGTACATTTACAAGGAAATTACAGCCTGGTAAAATATTAAAGTATTCAGCAACTACTATGTGCAAGGCATTGTGCTGACACTGAGGATACAAAAATGAAAAATGACAGTCCCAAAGCAAAAAGAAAAAACAAATAAATTTTTAAAATCAATAAAATATTTCTTAATTACACACAAAGTTCATAAGGGACACATGAACAGGGCAATTGTGTTACTTCCTTGTTAAGTTGAATGTATACTTTTAAAGAAAACAAACAGCATATAATACAACTTCATGATTTCATATACAATCTCACTTTTTCCATCTTTGTGTATCGAAAAGTTTATGTTTGTTGATGATTTTTAAGTTCACAAGAAAAAATAAAAATTTGGGGGCAGCTAGGTGGCACAGTCAATAGAATACTAGCCCAGGAGTCAGGAGGACCTGAGTTCAAATTGGCCTCAGACATATGACACTTACTAGCTGTGCAACTCTGGGCAAGTCATTAACCCCAGTTGTTTCACCAAAAATAAAAAAATAAAAAATTTTAAAATGATAATCCCTGTCCTTAAGGGGCTTATAGTCAAGTAGAATCATGTACACAAATCACTGGGAAACAAGTTAGAATAGGATTTAGAGCATAGAGGAGGTTAGACTGACCTGAGAACTTTGAGGAGGAAGATTACTGCTAGTCATGGGCAGTGCAGAGAATTACAGAAAGTTTTATGGAGAAGATGGCATGAGAGCTGGCCCTTGGAGGAAAAAGGCAGCTGGATGGTGCAGTGAATGGAGCATTAGACTTGGAGTCAGGAAATTCTGAGTTCAATTCCAGCCTCTGACACTTACTAGCTGTGTAACTCTGGACAGGTTGCTTAATTCTCTTGGCCTCAGTTTTCTTATCTATCAAATAGGGATAATGATAGCACCTACCACCCAGGATTATTGTGATACTATTAAAGCACTTTGCAAACTGTAAGAACAATATAACTGCTACTATTTGTTATTATTATACTATTCCACATACAGGGCACGGTGTGGAAAGATGGCGAGAGCAAGAGTCCACAGGATGAGATGGGAAAATAGTAAATGAAGTGCCCTCTATGAAGTCAAAAGAGCAACAGCAGTAAAGTCAGGAGGAATAAGTTCAAATCTTGACAATTAATACTTGATGACCATGTGCAAGTTGTTTCCCTGAGCCTCAGTTTCCCCATCTGTAAATTGAGGGGGTTAGACCAGATGATCTCTGAGGTCCCTTCCAGCTCTAGAGCTATGATCCTAGGATAAATAAAACTGGAAAGTTAGACTGAGGCTAAGCTAAGAAGTCCATATTCTTTTCAGTAAACAGTGGGAGGCAGGAGATAAGATGGAGGAGAAAACACAATCAGACATGTAGATTAGAAGGATAACTTTGGCTGCTGTGATGAGGATAAACTGGAGAGAAGAAAAATGGGAGGAAGAAATAGAGACAGGAGGCTCTTATCATTAGCCAAGTGAGGGGTAACTAGAGCAGAAATGGAAAGGCAAGGGCTTTGAGAGATGGAACCAAGCTTGGTCACTTGATTGCATATGGAGGGAGAGGAGATAAAGAATGGATCCTAGGTGACTGGGAGGATGGTGGTACCATTACGAGAAATGAGGAAGTTTGGAGAAGGAGCAGGTTTTGGGGAGATGATGGTTTCCATTTTAGATATGTTAAGTTAAAGATGAGAAGCCTAACGGATCCAGCTTGGCTTTGGGATCAGACCTGGGTTCAGTTTCTGCCTCTGATCCCTACTGGCTCACAGCCTGGGGTGAGTCAGTTAATCTAATGCTCTACTATGGACAACATCTCTAAAATTAAGTTCCAGTGCATCAGTCAAGGGAGTTTCCTCGTCCAGGTATTCCCTGTATCAATGAAACCATCCGTTTAGTCTCTGCCTCTTCTTGTTCGTTCATTTCAGTCATGTCTGACTCTTTATGACCCCACTTGGGGTTTTCTTGGCAAAGATACTGGAGTGTTTTGCCATTTCCTTCTCCAGTTCATTTTACAGATGAGGAAACTGAGGCAAACAGGGTTAAGTGACTTGTCCAGGGTCACACAACTATTATGTGTCTAAGGTCAGATTTCAACTCAAGGAGATAAGTCGTCTTGTCTTCAGGCCTGGTGCTCTATCTACTGAACCTTCTAGCTGTCTATAGTCTTTATTTCTGTCCCTAAATTTAAGATATTAGTGGGACAGCTAAGTAGAGAGAGCAAGCAAATAGTTGGAAATGTGGAACCAGAGCCCAGGGTAGAGCTGGAAGCCCAAGATGGAGACTTGGAAATCATCTGCCTAGAGGTAACGACTGAAGTCAATACCTTGGCTTAATAAATGATTATTAAACTGAATTGTGCAGATGCAATTGCCAAGGACTAGTATGTGGAGAGGAGAAAGGTGTGACATAGTGGGTAGAGTCAGAAAGACCAGGGTTCAAATCCTATCTCTGACACATACTAGTTGTGTGACCATGGGCAAGTCACTTGACTTTTCAGTGTCCCAGGAAACTCTCTAAGATCATTAATGACCAAAATGTTACAAGTCTGCATCAGTGAAGAGTTTTTCCACATGAAGAGTTACCCACTCAGATGAAGTCAGAAGCCAGAGATTCCCCCCTGTCCCCACTCCACCCCCTGTAAAAAAAACAACCCACATTGGGAATATAGCACCTCTAGGACAGTATTAAGTCACAGAAGGAAAACAGAACTAAGAAGTATAAAGCAGGACATATGCAACCAGCCTCTTTTCTTTCTTTTTCAAAAACTTTTTAAAATTGGCAAGTATTGGGAGAAGCTAGGAGGTGCAGTGGATAGAGCATCAACCCTGGAGTCAGGGGGATCTGAGTTCAAGTTCAGCCTCAGACACTAGCTGTGTGACCCTGGGCAAGTCACTTAATTGCAATTGATTTTTAAAAATTGGTAAGGATTTGTTTTTTCTTCCTCCCACCTATGCCCCTCCTCCCAATGAAACAAACAGGCCCTTAAAACAAATATACATAATTAGGCAAAACAAATCCCCAGTTGGCCACATCCAAAAAAGTATGGCTCATACTGCAGCTTGGGTCTGTCACCTCTGTCAGAAGGTGTCCGTCCCCAACCTCTTTTTTTCCAGTTCAGTCTGTTACTGTCAGTTAACTCCTTCCAGGTGACCCAGATTAGGGCCAGTCTCAAACCACAGCAATCTCCCACCACCGCCAGGACTAACAGAGTTTATGTTAAAAGAATAAAGGAACATGGTCACACGAAAACCTGGAAGAGAGGAGGTGCTGATTGGCAGTACTCATTGCTGGTGTTTGATCAGGCCCAAACACAAGAGCTTGAGGTGTCTTCAGAAATGATTCAAAATGGAATGGGGCATTCACAGAGAATCATGAAGCCAAGGACTACTGAAGCCCTGGGGTTCATTCTCCATTTTACAGATGAGGAACCCCAATGAGTTAAACGTAGCAACACCGAATAGAGGAAATTCCTCTTTTTGTGAACAATGGTATGCCCTCCTTCCAACTTCTGCTGAACTCCTTTTCCCAGTTTAAAGGGCCCAGCAGGACTCTAGGATCTGGTGGGGAACAGGATCAGGATGGATTCACCTTGTGTTCTTAAGTGGGACTTCCTTCTCTCTACCCAATATGTGACCTGGAGCTGAACTGGGTTAAGGAAAATAGCTGATCTGAGAATCGTGGCAGGGAGAGGCCTGTCCAAACCTTGATGTAGGGCACCATGAGAGGGTCTTAATGATCAAAGCACTGGAGCCGGAAGGGACCTCAGAAGTGATCTAGTACAACCGCCTCATTTTATAGACAAGGAAACAGAGGCACAGATAGGTCAACAGGTAGTAAGTGTCAGAATCAGGATTTGAACCCAAGTGCTCTGATTTCAGAGTGTCCTTTCTACTATGGGAGGAAAAAGATAGCTAAGATTGGGGGATGGGGATAAGGAAAAGTAACCTACCCTTAAAAAGGCCAGTCAAGGGCAGAGCCACATTCAGCTCAGTTTTCCAAAAAGCCAGCCCCATCAGATCACTCCAAACCCTTCTGGTTAGATTACTCTAGGGAATAATGTTTATGGAATCACAAAGCGGCCATGATGACTTTAGAGTTTCTTATCCCTTTTTACGTTATGGATCCCTTTGGCAATCAGGGAACACCTTTTTGACCCCTTCTCAGGATAATGAAATTCATAAAATAGAATACATAGGATTACAAAGGCAACCAATTATGTTGAAATGTTTATGAAAATTTTAAAAACAAACAAGTTTATTTTTAACAAGTCTCCAAGTTAAGGACCCCACCCCCTGCCCCTACCCCCCAGCTTTAGATCATCTCTGGGGTAGTCTGACTCTCCACCTAGTGACGATTGTGTTTTACAAGCTCTCCAACATGTAGCCATCTCTCCACCCTTACAGTGGTGGTATGGACCACAATTGAGAATGCAGCACATTTCATCCTCCTCCTCAGAGAGCTGGCTAAGCTCCTTCCCCTTGGCAACAAGGAAGGCATAAAGAAATGACAGGAGGAGCCTCAGTCTCTCTTTCAGGGGAAACTACCAGACATGCCAAACATCCCTGTTTTGGGGGAACACGACTTATTTGATTGGGTGCTGAGGCCCAAAGTCTGTTGATGCTGGGGAATAGAAATGAAGTGATACTCTAGGGAGGAGAAAAAAGGAAGAAGAAGTGGCAGATGGGCAAAAGATGGTGTTCAGATCCTGGCAGAGGTTTGGATAATCTGGTCACTGAAACTGAGCTCTGAAGAACTATAGCCTTAGGTTATAGAACTTGTGTTTGGAAAACAAGAAACTAGTCGAGTTTTGCTCCTTTTTCCCAGTCCCTGCCTTTCCAGGCCCCCTTTTCCCTCCAATCCCTCTGAACCACCCCCACCCTCCTGCTTCTTTGCTTTCTCCCCTAAACAGACTAAAGGGTTGGCTGGTAGGTTAGGGTTACAAATTACAAGTGTGCCTTACTTTAGGAAGATGGACTTGTTCATTTAAAAGTTGTGCATAAATCAGATTTTTGTAAATTAAGTTATCAGACAGACCCAGGAAGCTGTCTGGTCAAAGGAATCCTACAGTGAGACCTTTTTTGTAAAGTGACTAAACCTTCTGTGATGGGAATGATCTCCCTCAAAATTATTTGCTCTACAAGGTTCTGATTAATGACTGTCAGGTTTCTTTTATGTGAGACATAATCTATATTGGTGAAAAAATGACAGGTTTGGATTTTCTAAGGATTTCAGTAGCCTGTGTTGTTCCCTTCCACCTTCCCCTGTGATAACAGACAGTTAGGAGTTGGCTGTGATTTTTGTATTATGGGCCCTTCAGGTTTCTCTTGTCTTCATAAAAGCACAGTCCACTCCAGAGGTGTCAAACACTCTTATGTGGCCCTCAATCCTCCCGACCACAGCCTTGAATCAGATTAAAATGTAATTGGGAAATATTTAACAAATAATTAAAATAATTTTAAATTAAATTTTCTTTAAAAAATAAAAAAATAATTAAAATTAAAAATAAATAAAAATCCAATAAAACATAGATTATATTAATAGGTGGGGTTTTTAAGTCAGTATGCATCCCTCAGGGACCTTTATGTATGACTTAATGGCCCATTTCCATTTGAGCTTGACCTCATTGCTTTGCTCTGCCTCACCTTCCCTTCCGCCATGCTTCACCTCCAGGGCTTGGTCCAGAAACAAGAACACATGTTTCCACTAATGTAACTTCTCCCTGGGTGGTGTATCTGTCTTGGGTCTGTGCCCCTTCCCTCCCAGGAACACCCAAGAAAACATGAACCCGGAAGATGAGGTGGATGAGTTCCTGGGCCGAGCTATTGATGCCAGGAGCATTGATCGGCTGAGGTCAGAACACGTCCGGAAGTTCCTCTTAACTTTCAGAGAGCCTGACTTAGAGAAAAAGGTAACCCAGTCCTGGGCAGACAAAGGGATTTGGGGTGGGGGAATCAGTTCAGGGGGTGGGGTAGAACTCAAAACCCAAGCGTGCATTCCTCTCCTCAGACTAACTACTCCAACTAGGTTACTAGTCATTGACTTAAAATGCTAAATCTCTGGAGAAAAACTCCTCCAGCAAAGTAGGTGAGGTCCCTTTTCTTGACCTATGTTTTTCCACCTGTGAAATGGGGGCAGCCAAAAATTGGAGAGTATAAGAGGGATTTTATAGCCTTCATTTGTTAGATATTATGTTACTAAGGAGCTATACCACCCAGCATTCTAACTAGAGTAATTGAATATGAGAGATAACAAGGGTATCTTGAGATGGCCATCTATTCTATGTCTTTCATTTTTGTAGTTGAAGAAACTGAGGCCCCAGAGAAGTGGAGTTCAGAGATACAAAGATACTTAGTGTTAGAGCCAGGACCAAAGCTCAGGTTTCCTGACTCCTATTCCAGTGTTCTTTCTGCAACACCAAATGGCCTCCCTTGTGAGCTGGTATGCATGCAGGGAATGTAAACCCACTTCAGAGTTAAACTGAGGAGTACTTAATTAGGAAGATAGATCTACTGTGGAAAAACCTTTATGCTTTCCAAAGCCAAAAACAAATTATTCTGGATTATCCATTGTTTGGGATTATACGTGCCAGAGTTCTGCACCATTAGCATAGCCTGAAGCAATAGCCAGTGGATAAAAAAGGAAAGAGCCTGGTGCAGGAGAATGGAGGCCTGGGTTTTTTTCCTGAGTAGGCTAGCCCATTAGCTATATTTGGGAATAAGTCACTTAACCTCTTCTGCCCTCCATTGTTTCATCAGTAAATTGGGCAAAATACCTGCTCTACCTACATCACAAGGTTGTGGTAAGGATCTAATTAAATGACAGCTTTGGAAAACGCTTTGAAAAGGTCAAGTGCCATGTAAATGTCAATTACATTTTTATAATTAATCATAGGATCTCAGAGTATTAGAGCTGGAAGGGACCGCAGGGATCATCTAATTCAATTCCTGTATTTTACAGAGGAGACGTTTAGGCCCAGAGAGGGGCAGTGACTAAAAATAGGAATTAGCCTTATTCGTGCAGATCACCAGGCGCTGGCTGGAGAAAACAAATGAGCAGAGGAGAATGGGTAGCAGAAAAGTTCTGGGAGGACAGGCTGTGGCAGTCCTGTGGATTGTCACTAAGTCATGAGCTTGAATTGCTCTTGGTTCTTCCTGTCCACGAGCTTTTTTGTTTTGCTGTCATGTGAATGTTAAGAGAACAAAGTCCTCTCTGAGAGGGAGAAATCAGAAATCCCCTGGTTAATTTTCCCCAAATACTTGAGCTTGGGAACTCTCCTTCTCTCCCTGGTACATACATATGCCCCTAGGTCCCCAGTGAGTCCTACCATGGGGCCCAGGGGTCATTGTTGTCCTTTGTATCCAAAGAGGACCAAAATGGCATCATGATATCGGGGTCACTGTACAGGGTGTCTGTCTGAGTGTGGCTGATCAAACCATCGCGAGCTCAGACGGCTCTACCACAGGTCAAGCACAAATAGTCCATATGCATATCTGGGATGGAGATGTTTCTACATGTGCCAGTCACTTTCTTTTGAACTACTTTTGGGCCCAAGGGTAGGCCACACTGAGAAAGGAGAGGAAAACTGAACAAGGGACTGGTGTGGTCCAGAGCTACAGGGAAGGCAGGAGGCTTGAATCTGAGCCAAGACAATTCTGGATGGCAGGAAAAATCCTTCTGTTTCTGTGAGTGGATCAGTCATAAATTTTTTTTTTGGCCCCAAACTATGATTTCATTGATATATGAAATTTCCAGTGAGAAAACACTCTACACACATACATCTACAATATAGTTTATAGCCTTAGAGAGTACAGGACAGTATGGCTGGGGGGCACTGGGTTGTTAAGTGATTTGTTTAGGGTCACACAGCCACCATTACTGTAAAAGAAAAGCCTTGAACTTGGGTCTTCCTGACTCAAGGCTAGCTCTCTACCAACTGTGCCACATTGCATTGTTGTACCGAGAAATCAGCGAGCGAAGTCCAGACGTAATTTAAGATGTGGATTTATTAGCACGTGGCTGCAAGGGGTATGCACATCCAAATCAAGCAGCCCCGATCAGGGGTCGAGCTAGGGTTTATATGGAAAAGAGCATAGGAAAGAAATGCCAGGAACACTGATGAGGTAATCCAAAGGTGCAGGTGTCTTTGGGGGCTATGGATGGGAAAGTACAGGGAGTATACAGGACAAGGAGGGGGATGGATCTTTGGAGTCTGGCAGGAGGAAGAGTCCTTGGGCTGGCCAAGGACACCCCTCTCCCTCTGTCTTGATGAAAGAATGCTCTGCAACAAGGGAAAGCTTTCTCACAACACAGGAACTTACTGAGGAATTGGGAGGCTTCCAGAGACATGATCTGAGGGCTGGGGCCTGAGCAGCTCAGCTCTGTGTAGCTGTACCAGGGAGAGAGACAAGGGTCATACTGAGGCCCATGCATGAATAACTGCTAGGCACAGTGTCCTTGGGCTGGGGAGTGGTTGTCAGAGACAGTGTTTCTGAGACTAGGGAGAAATTGGGGCACAAGTACAAGCACAAGCACCCGAGCACCCCATTATTACAGGTCAGAGATCATACAACCAGACCAGGTGTCCTGGTCTGGTATAAACATAATTATCTAAAGCAATTATATTGCAAGCTTTCTTATCCATTTGCATTGGAGGTACGGGCTATGCTGAGCTATGCAAGAGTACATTTCACTGTTGTTTAGATTTAGGAGGAAAGAGGTCTGGGGCAAGATTAAGCACCAACTTTTGCTTTTCATGGCTTAAAGGGCCCTACTACCTAAATGGCAAAATAATGTTCTGCATTACAGTATCTCTCAGAGACGGTACTGAGAATGTTAGGAGAATGTTAGAAGTGAAAGGGACCTTACTTACAAATCATCTAGTTCAACAGGCTCATTTTATGGATGGAGAAACTGAGGCTCAGAAGTGAAATACCTTGTCAAAGGTCACAGTGGAGGCATGCCCTCCACTATATAATTTTAGTGCCTTGATTTATTAACTTTCTACTTGTGGGCAGAGTAAGTTATGGAATGGGCGTTGGACAGACTCTACCTCCAGTGCTTTTCACGGTGATAAGAATTTTAAATTCTTAATTCTTTAGGAAGAACTCCTCTCCCTCCCCCGCCCCAGACCTACTCACCAGTCTGGGTTGGTTTATCCCCATCTAGTGGTGTTGCTAGGGCATTAACCCTGTCATGAAAGACTGGCTGTGTGAACTGACGTGGCCCAAGGGGGACTCATTAGAGTGAATTATGGAGTCAGAGTTGCCTGATTCTACATTCCAGATGTCTTTCCAAACCTCTCCTTTTTCTCCTCTCAGTATTCTAAGCAGGTGGACGACCGCTTCGGTGCCTACGTGGCCTGTGCCTCCCTTGTCTTCCTCTTCATCTGCTTTGTCCAGATCACCATCATGCCACAGTGAGTACTTCCTCTGCCCCACTCTTCTTGATTGCAAGCATCCCAGGTCTCAGAAGGGTAGAGACACTTGTTTCTCTAGCCAACAAAGCAAATTTTAGGTCCAGAAACAAGATATACTCTATGATGTCATCATATGACAGCTAGGTGGTGCAGGGGCTAGTGCTGGGCTTTGAAGACCTGAGTTTGAATCCTGCCTTATGCATTTACTAGCTGTGTGACCCAGGACAAGTGGCTTCATCTCTCTGGACCTCAGTTTTCTCATCTATAAATGGGGGTGGGGGTTGGACTTAATGGCCTGTAAAGTCTCTTCCAGCTCTAAGTCTATGATCCTAGAAGGTGAGGAGAGAGAAAGCAAGGGTCATGGAATTAAGTGTAAGTTTTCTCAATGTAGGAATTCTTTAAAAGGGGAAAACACTGACTAATGTCTGAGTTGTGATATGTGAGTTAAAATGCAGGCACTTCATTCACAGTTAGTCACACTAAACATTCATCCAGGTCATTAATGGGCCATACACTATGTGCTGGTTCATTGTTTCCGTATTTGTCTATGTTCAAATGAAGTCACTAGTGCTATCAAAAATGTTAAAAGGAAATAAGTAATTGTAATATAAGCAAGAATATCACATTCTGTATGCATATTAAGTCCCCCCCTTTTGTGTATAATTGCATATCATTAATTACTCCAACAACTTTTATCTGCTTCTGCAGTAACACAGATCAATGGATTGGGTTGCCTCAGTTTCCAAGTTGTGTTGATGTTATTTTACCCTCTGGCAGCAGCTCTGTGGCTCTAGAATTGACTGAAGTTACTCTCTGACAAATCTCCCCTCTAGGGAAGCTTAAAAATACACTTTAAAAAGTGTTTCTTTCCCTGTTATAAAGAATTTCTTTTTCCCCTTCACAAGTTGGTTTAAGACAGTTAAGTGCAGACGCTTGGGCTGGAACAAATACCTGGCTTAAATGGCTGTTGAGTATTCACTTTCCCTGGTGAGGCTTTCATTTTCCTTTAACCCAGCAAACAGTACTTAACTTCTCCCAATCTTCTGTTATTGAAAGCAAAGGAATTTCAGAAGACTTTAAAGGTTTGGTTTTTTTGTTTGTTTTTGCACACCCCTGGTGGAGAGACTGACAATTCAAAAATGAAATGCACTTGCTACCATTATTTTCCCTCTCTGGGGAATCCCCCCAGGCTCATGCAGGCTGGTATCTATCATCTATAATTGTGATTTCCCTTTGAAAGGGGCAGGGAGGAGGGAGGGATGGACAGCTCAAACCCATAGGCTATTTCCTGTTGAAAGGCTGTGATTGAAGTGGAAAAAAATGGAAATAGGATTTCTTGGAAATTGGACATGGAATAGGGAAGATGAAATATTATTTTCACCTATTATAAGAATTAGGAGACAATGGGAGGGGATGGATTTAGCAGATTCTAACTCTTCCCCATGAATATGTGGGTCTACTCTAGTCTGTACCCTAGCATCATGGACAGATACCAGCAGAGTTCTCCCCCCTCTCCCCCAAAGACTCCAGGGCAGCACATTTCCAAAAATGGCTGAGATTCTTTTAATCTATTAATCTTTGTAATTTCTTATGAAGTCAAGAAAATATACTTCTACGTATTTTAAGGGAAGAATAAATAAGACAACCATATTCCAGACAAATACGGCTACTTGCCACACTCCCCACACACAACATTCCATCTCCCTTTGACTTTGCATAGGCTGTCCCCATTATGCTGTCTCTACTTGCCTCAGATCCCTTCAAGGCTTAGCTCAGATGCCCCCTCTTCTGTGAGGCTTGTCCTGATTCCCCAGTTGTCAGGTGCCTTCTTCCCTTCCCCCTTCCTGTACTTTTTTATTTACTTTGTGTATATTTTGTTTACTTACATGTCCATGTCATGTGTCTCCCCATCTCCCCCCTAGAATGTGAGCTTCTTGAGGACAATAAGTATTTTGTTTTTGTTTCTATATCCCCAACACCTAACAGTGCATGACATATAACAGTTACTTAATAAATGCTTTTGTGAATGAAGGAATGGGTGTACAAATAAAAATTAATCAAATGATGGAAAAATGGTTAAAATATTAAAAATCTATTATTCAACACTAGGTCTTAGGTCCTAGTCTTCTCTAGGCTTTTGCTGCTCCTAAGCGATCAGGAAATGTAACAAAGAATGCTGGGTACATTTTGAGAAAGAAAAAGAATTTTTATGAGAGGAGGGATTCTCTGAATCTGTTTACAAGTTTGAGTTTGGGCCCTAGTGATCATCATAAGGTACATTTAGAGGAAATGGAGTAAACTCTGTGTCAGAATTCTTTTAGAAATCATCCCAAATTTTTACCTAGAAGGATGTTTTCAATTCAGAATCCAGGATCCAGAAGGAAAAGCTGGGGTCCATAGTTGTTCTTTTAAAATTTATAATGTGTAGTGTGTGCTCCCCTTGTACTAGACAAGACCTCTCTGAATAGCCTAATTGATGTACCACAGAAGTGCTTTCCTTTGGAAGGCTGGGTGTGGAAATCACCTACCTATTCCCTGGAAGCCAGAGTAACTGCCTTTTCCTACCTTATTGAAGGAAACCTTAGTTCTTTTCCCCAGACTGTCCAGGAATCCTTCCAACTTTCTCTTTGCTTCCAGCTCCATGTTTATGCTGGCTTTCTACTTGACCTGTTTCCTGCTGTTGACCATAGTGGTGTTTGTCTCCGTGATCTACTCCTGTGTAAAGGTGAGTAAGCAAGCAAACATCCTCCATGGCCTCTTTTCTATTTAAGAGGATATAATACTTTTGAAGTAGATAAAGGGAAGACAGAAGAAGCCCTGGTTCTGGTTTGCTGGGCATAGGGCTGTCCCCAGTGTCTACCCCAAATTCCTGGAGCTGGTGTTTTTTGAGATTCAAAATTATTCTTAGGACACAGCATAGGAAGTAGAGAATGGCATTGTGGTCAGGCATCTGTGGTTGTCATTGTTTTTTTTGTTTTGTTTTGTTTTAGGCAGTTGGGGTTAAGTGACTTGCCCAGGGTCACACAGCTAGTAAGTGTGTCAAGCGTTTGGTCTGAGGCTGGATTTGAACTGAGGTACTCCTGACTTCAGGGCCGGTGCTCTTTCCACTGTGCCACCTAGCTGCCCCCTGTGGTTGTCATAGTTAAGGAGCAAGATTGGAGGGCTGATCAGTGGGGGGAGAACTGGAATATTTTATTGTGGACCTGTTTGTAAAGAAAGCAGATGTGGACCTCGACAAGAATATGTCACTTTTGGATCCATCTGTGGCAGGTTTTCATGTGTCAGGGACAATGTAGAGGTAATATTCTGAATGCCTTTGCCATAGCAGGGTCCAGTGAGCTCTGATCCTTCGACCTCAGTGAGATAGAAAGGAAGGTTCCAAAAGTACATGTATAAAGAAAGCTATCTGTCCCAAATGCCACCAACGTCCCAAACAGAATCCCTGTGTCACATAGGATTCAAAGAATATAAAGCTGAAAAGGGCCTTAGAGACTATCTAGTCATAAGATCATAGATTCAAAGCTAGCAGGGCCCTTAGTAACTCACTATCTAGTTTGATTTTCACAGATTTCCCCAGGGAGGGGAAAAATTTCTTGCCTCACTCACCCACTTGGTATCAATGTTATCGCCTTTGCAAGAACCCAATTCTCCAGGGCTCTTTTAACTACATCTTGTTGCCACTATACATTCTGCCCCGACTAATCTGAGCCCCTCTCTGGGACAACTGCCTAGCACAAATACCTTCTGGTCATTTCTGAAAAAAAAATTTTTTTTGGTCCCACTTTCACTACTTTCCTTTCCCTTTGGCTTTACCCTAAGCTTCATTTCCTTAATGCTAAGATTTCCAATCTAGGCAATGGGAAAGGGAAAGACTAGTAAATGGAAAACATATCCATTCCTGCTATGGCATCTCGTCACCTCCAGCTTCCTTCATTTACCTGTCTCCACTTCAACATCATATCCTTTCTATGTCAGAACTTGCAAGCCCCCACCTTAAAGTGCTATGTAAATGTCATCTCTTATTATTATTATCCTGCCCCACAAGTAGCCACTCCAGGGTCACAAAAACCCAGGTCCATTCATTCTTCCTATCCCTTCTGGGTTGTAAAACTCTTTCTTTTTACTTCTGAGGAGAGGGAGAAGCTTACCTTCTAGAAAACATCCTCTTCTGCTACAGTCTTAGAGTTAAATCTCTCAGCCCCTGGGGGGAACAACAGCATAAGACCAGCTACAGAGAACTCCAGTCCAGGAAAAAAAACATGGCACCACCTAATGAGAGTAATCACTCATGAACCATCCACCTCCCTTTCCTGGTTTTGGGCATTTCTCCATCCATTTCTCTAGTTGTATAGAAAATCTAGTAAGAAACACTGTGACATTATCATTGCAATAATTCTCCCCTCTTGCCTTTGGCCACTCAGGAATTATATCTCAGTAGAATCCTTTCTGTAAAAACAACAACACTCTATACCAAAACAAAATCAAAATGGATACATGATTTAGATATAAAGGCTGATACTATAAACAAACTAGGAGAGCAAGAATAGTTTACCTTTCAGATCTATGGAAAAGGGAAGAATTTATGACCAAAGAAGAGATAGAGAACATTATGAAATGCAAAATGGATGATTTTGATTATGCTAAATTGAGAGGTTTTTGCACCAACAAAGCCAATGCAACCAAGATTAGAAGGGAAGCAGAGAGCTGGGAAACAATTTTTACAGCCAGTGTCTCTTATAAAGGCCTCATTTCTAAAATATAAATTTGACTCAGTTCTCTATATAAGAATACAGGTCATTCCCCAATTGACAAATCGTCAAAGGATATGAACAGGCAGTTTTCAGAGGAAGAAATTAATGCCATCTATAGTCATATGAAAAAATGCTCTAGATCACTATTGATTAGAGAAATGCATATCAAAACAACTCTAACTACCACATCACACCTATCAGATTGGCTAACATGACAAAACAAGAAAATGATAAATGTTGGAGAGGATGTGAGAAAATTGGAACACTAATGCATTGTTGGTAGACTTGTGAACTGATCCAACCATTCTGGAGAGCAATTTGGAACTGTGCCCAAAGGGCTATAAAACTGTGCATGCCCTTTGACCCAGCAATACCATTTCTAGGGCCCATATGTACAAAAATATTTATAGCAGCTCTTTTTTGTGATGGCAAAGAATTGGAAATTGAGAGGATGTCCATCAATTGGGGAATGGCTAAACAAGTTGTGCTATATGAATGTAATGAAATACTATTGTACTATAAGAAATGATGAACAGGCTGACTTCAGAAAAACCCAGAAAGACTTATATGAACTGATGCTGAGTGAAGTGAGCAGAACCAGGAGAACGTTGTACACAGCAACAGCCACAATGGGCAATGACTGACTTTGATAGACTTAGCTCTTCTCAGCAATGCAGGGATCTAAGACAACTCCAAAAGACTCGCAATGGAAAAAGTTATCCACATCCAGTGAAAGGACTTTGGAGTCTGAATGCAGATGGAAGCACACTATTTGTTCTCCTTTTCTTTTGTTGTTTTGTTTCTTCTTTCTCGTGGTTCTTCTCATTAGTTCTAAATCTTCTTTACAACATGACTAATGTGAGGCAGCCAGGTTGCTCAGTGGATAGAGCACCGGCCCTGAAGTCAGGAGGACCTGAGTTCAAATGCGGCCTCAGACCAAACACTTGACACTAGCTGCGTGACCCTAGGCAAATCACTTGACCCCAAAACAAACAAACAAAACCAACATGACTAATGTGAAAATATGTTTAATATGAATGTATAAGTAGAGCCTATATCAGATTGCACGCCATCTTGGGAAGGGAGAAGAAGGAGGGGGAGAAAATTTAAAACTCAAAATCTTATGGAAGTGAATGTTGAAAACTAAAAATAAATGAATTAATTATAATAATTATAGAGACAATTAAAAAATTACAGAGACAATTAAAAACAGCAACAACAGCAAAGCAATAGGGAAGGAGCTTCCGTCACATCCTCCAGAGAATCATTCCAGGTTTTCACTTCCTGCACTGCCAGGAAGTTCTTTTGAAGTTTCAACAGCTAGTTGATCACAGTTCTAGGAGTAGAACCGAGTTCTCCTGACTTACATTGCTCTTCCCACTATACAGTGCTATCTCTCAGGAGCTTATTTCTGCTCCTTTTGGGTACAGGAGAAACAACTACTCAGCATTTCCCTCATTAAAACGTTTTGCATTTGACATTTGACTGTGAGGTCTAAAAATATATGTACTGAGGTGTAGAGAATATATGATCCAATTGTGTCTAATGTCTCTTGATTCCTCTTCACCAAAAAATAAAATAAAAATAGTTGGCTTAGAGCAAAATGCAGGCTTGAAGGCTCTCCTCAAACAAAGCATCTTCCGTGCGTATGTTAAGATCATAGAGGATTCCATGACAGACTGCAATGGTGCATTATTTAATTTGTCGGCTTTTCAATGGCTACATTGTTTACACTGGTTCTACTAATTTTTCTGATTTAAGATAATTATTGTGGCTTCAGAGGCCCTATGCCCATGACATGCCACCAAAAAAAAAATATTATTCATAGTGGAGGAAAGGTTTCAGAATATTTTGGCTTTATATTCCTGGTACCAAAAGAAGATGTGAATGGGTTGAAATCAACACTGTAAGAACAAAAATCCATACCACTGAGAATACATATCCATGGAAATACTGAATTATGCCCAATACCTAGCACACAGTATGCACTTAGTAAATAACTGTTGAATTAAGTTGCATCCCCCATGGTAGATTGCTAGAAAGACACAGACAAAGATTGCACAGGATGAGAAGACATGGATGGGTTTGTGGTCTACATTGATACAGGAAGGACCACATGATTATAGAATTCTGTTTACATGTAACACGAATCCATCGACATATACTTGAAGATCACAATCAAGTCACCACACAGCCCTCTTTCCTCAAAACTATACAACCTTAGGGGGCAGCTAGGTGGTGCAGTGGATAGAGCTCCAGCCTTGGAGTCAGGAGGACCTGAGTTCAAATCCAGCCTTAGATACTTGACACTTACTAGCTGTGTGACCCTAGGCAAGTCACTTAACCCTGATTGCCTCACCAAAAACTACACAGCCTTAACTGATTTATGCTTACTGTTGTAAAAATGCAGCATGGTAAAAATGATCTTAAAAAAAAACCAAAACATTATTTAGCTGAACCCAAGTCATCTTTTTAAAAAATGAAACTGTTAATTAAAACAAAAATAAAATCCAAAACCAACCCTACCTAGTGAAATTCTAAGTTCAAGCTGGAACTCATATTTTCTCATGTTCTTTGAGAAGATCACAGGATCATAGATTTAGAGATGGAAGAGATTTTGGAGGACATGGAGCCCAACCCCCTCACTTTATAGATGAGGAAGGTATGGCCCAGAATGCTTAGGTAACTTGCCCAGAGTCACACAGCAAGTTAATGTCTGAGGAAGGATTTGAACCCAGGTCTTTCTGGCTTGGAGTCCAGCATTCTATTTCAAAATAATCCCTTAGTCATTGAGCCATTAAAAAAAATGGATAGAAGAGAACAGAATGACAGTCCATAGGAAACACAGATAAGCCAGGTCAGGTTTGAAAACAGTGCATTGAATTTATTGTATCCTTCTAAAGAAAAGCAAGCTGTAGATTTGCAGCTTCACATGCAATCCTCTTTTCTTATTCTACTTTGTATATGGAAATAT